GACATATGCCTGCCCTTCTGGCCTGACCCTGGAGCTGCAGGCCTTGTGACTTTGCTCCGCCTCCAGCCCAATTTTTTCCCTTCTCCTTGGGATCTGCACTCTGGCCACCAGGAGGCACTGTTCCCCCTCAGACCTGATGAGATCACAGGTCTCTATTTCAAAAAGAGGGTGGAAGGCAAGTCATCACAGGGAGTGCAAAGGGAAGACAATGGCCTTTGTCTAATCGCTGCTATGAATCTGGAACTTCCCATGCAGGACTTTACCTCATCCTCCCACCACCACGATAGGGGTGGGGCTAGAGCTTGAGAGGCAGTATTCTAAGTCACAAACAACAGAAACCAACCTTCAGCTAACATAAGCAAAAACTAAAAAAACTAAAAAACGCACTGCTCACAGAAGTGGCAGAGAAGACAGTACCCAAAGAAGACAGCTAAGATTGGGCCTCCTGTGCGGTTTGAACAGGATGCGACGCCTGCTTCTTAGCCTTCAGCTGCCACTGAAAATAATCTCCAAGTGTCCCTAGTGTTTTGTGTCACCCCTTCTCTATGTCACAAACCCTCACCCTAACTGACTTGAAACCTTATGCTTCTTCTGCACCACAAGCTCAGAGAAGCAACCAGCTTCTTCCAAGCTTTGGTCCTGTCACCCCAACTTCAATCCTTCACTCATTCAACCAACATTAGGTCAGTGTGGACAGCAAACACCTAGGACCCTGGTTCCCAGACTCAGACACACCTGCCCTCCCTCTAAGGCTGCTGACAGGTGACTGGCCACATGGTGGAGCTGGGGGGGTGGGAGGGGAAGGGGCAGAGGGCTGGTGGCACTACCACGGCTGAGGAATTAAAGCTGCATAGGGCCAGGGAAGTCTTGAGGGTTAAGAGGGTCACATCTTCAACCAGAAATGGTCCTGGCTAGAGGAGGAGGTGATATGGACCTCTAGGCAGCTACCCGTATGTCAGGAGAGTGCCCCTGGAGACCCAGAGGAGAGGAGAAGGGGTCCAAGAAGATAGGCTGTGGGGAAGGACAATGGGGTAGCAGGCAAAGGCCTTCTCCTTGATATGGGAGCCCCGGGACTGTGGCAGGCATGATAGCAGAGATCCAAGGAGAATCCAGTCACTCACTTACACATTCAACATACATTTACTACTACAGGCTCAGTGCCACCACTGCAGAGACAGGAAAAGGAGCCAGTCCCTGTCCTCAGAGAGCTCCCTCCCCCACAGCACATTGTTTAGAACTAAACTCTGAGGGGCTGTACAACCAAAGGGGAGAAACACATCACATCCCACAGGAGCCCCTGAAGAAGGGCCCTCCAGGCCCCTTCCCTGACTCACAGGTGGCTTCTGAAACCTCCTCTGGCTCAGGGAAGGTTCCCTTCCTATCCAGCTCCACCCGCCTCCCAACTGAGGGAGGGGACTTTTGAAAGTTGCTCTAACCTTTGACAGGGACCAATGTTGGCACCAGGCTTATTCACAGATACAACACCTGGCAAAGAGGATTTGCATGTGATTTGCAAAAGGTTGGCCTGAGGCTCAAGCCAGGCAAACCTACTCCTGCTCCTCATTCCTCCCATCCTGGGCCATTTCTATCCGCAGAGAACCCCAGGACCCTTTTCTTGCTTTCCTCCAAACAGTTCCCATGAAGAAGCCAAAACAGCACCAACTGGAGTTTCCAATCCACAAGGCAGAGCTTGGGGACTTCTGGGTGTGTTGGTCCAGCTCGGAGATGACACCTGGCAGGTGAAGGTCTCTGAGAAGCTCTCAGGGGAAAGCCTCAACCTGTAAGAGGTTTTGCAAGCCCAGGACTCCAGTTAAGAACCAAGGAAGCTTCTGGACCTGCCTAATTCTAGCGGCTTAGGTCCTGGAAAGGAGTGAACACACCCTCAATATTGGGTGAATGAATGACAAAGGCTTCCATTGAACAAAGGCCTCAGGGAACTAGACTTGAATGCTTAGAGGACAGCAGGGGAGAGCTGAGACTACACAGCCTATTAAAGGGGTCAGAGAGAAAATATTCCCCTAACTGCCAGCGAGTGAAAGTGTGCCTTAGGCCAAAGCACTGTGCCAGCGATTCACTAGTTCATCTCAGTTTAGCATTATAAGTGCCCTGTGAGGTGGGCCTCTCACTCCCATTTTAGAGATGAGGTAACTGAGGCTCAGAACAGTTAAGTGACTTTTGCTTAAGGGCGTACAGCTGGGCGTGGGGAGACCAGGACTCTAACCCAGAAGCTATTAAGATAAATTGGGTGAGAATGATGCCTCAGCATGAGGCAGGCTGTTTCTTAACTAGGTGAAGCTCATGGAAGCCTGTTCTCCTGCAGATCAGGAAGGGGAAGAGGCCACAGGGGAGAACAGGGCTCTCTCCCTCCACCCCTACCCCCACCCCACCCCGCTGATTCCCTGAGCCTTTTGCAGCTGTGGATATCAGCTTGGTAATCCAGCCAAGGAGCCCCTGACATGCAGATGGCAGGGGCCACTATGACCACTTCCTGTCTCCTGGTTTCTGGCCTTCCCTAGGGACCCTCAGCCCTGGGCATTGGTCCAGGCTCCCTGGCCACCTTCCTTAAGCCCTCCTGTCCCCTTTCTGCTGCTTTGCCCCTTCACCTACCTCCACAGGTCAGTGAGTCCCTGCAGCGGGAAACTGGCATTCACACCAGGTCTGAGTGACCTCAAAGCCCATGCCCTTTCTGCTTGGTCTCCCTGCCCACCCCTCCCACCCGTGTCCTCAGCACCAGGCCTTTCCCAGTGACTGCTCCTTCCACCTCCCACAGTATTTTTCTGGTGAAGGTTGTTCCCCAAGGGCTTGGCAAAGCTCCCCGATGGGAAAGCTGATGACAGGGCCAAAGAACAGCTCCCATAGGAGGAGGGCCAGCCATGCAGGGTGCCCCAGGTGCTTTCAGCAAGGGAAGCTGTTCACAGTCAGCTCAGCCTGGGCACCTGCTCTGCAGGAAGTTGAGGGGACTTTGCTGGAAATCTGCCTTTAATCTTGGCTTCCTGTTTTCTGCCCCTGGGGACGCCCAGACAGGACTGAGTTTCAAGCTATTTCACACCAGCTTCTCTAAACTGTCATCTCAAAGTAGATGCTGGGGGTGGGGAGGAGTAATGAAGGAGAGGAGAGGCCCTTCCCTTTCCAGGAGAACCTGGGACCAGAGCGCAGCCCACCCAAATGGTGCTTAAGCTCAGAACCTCTGGCCATCAACAGCCAACCCAATTTAGCATCAAGCTGGCCCAGATGGGTCCTATAATAACAATGCAACCCGAAGTCCTGAGCTCCATTTCCCACATCCAGGGGTCTTCAGCCTCTCTTTTCTCCTTTCCCTCACGCCACACAGGTAGCCCAGCTTGAGAAAGCTAGTGCTTGAACCTACCTGGCTGGGAGAGGACTCCTCTTAAATTTCCTCCCAAATCCTAAAACCTAAGGCCCCTACTCTAAATGATTTCCTTTCCACTACACGGGAAGCTGGTGTTCCCGGTTTTGGAGGTCCTCAGATCTAACCCTTGTCCTGGGAGTGGGCTCTGGGAAAGTTCTTTCTATTCTGAGCCTGGTCTATAAAAGATGGCTCCAAACATTGGCTTGACACCTCCATTTCTCAGAGGCGTCTTCAACTGGGTTTGCCCAAAATCCAGCTCCTAAGCATTACTCCCAGCTTGAGCCTCTCCCAGGCCTCCCACTTCCGTAAAGAGCACCATACTTTCCCCCAGTGCTCCCACCACACCTGAGGACCAGGCCCGCCTTCTCCTGTGGCCTCACTCCCCTCACAGCCCCTCACCAAGAGCAGTCACATGGCTCTCCTTTATCCACCAGAGCCCACTCTCATTAACACTGGTGGGATTATTCAAAACATCCTCTCTGGTCTCTTGACCTTCACTCAGTCATGTCACTTCTCTACTTAAAATCCTTTAATGGCTCCCCATTGCTCATATAATAAAACCCAAATTCGTGTAATAAAATCCCTGGTTCACAGCACCCTACAGAATCTGGCCCTTCCTCTCATACTACTCTCTCCCACTTACTGGTTTTGTTATCTCGGCCTTGTTACTGTCCCTCAAGGTGCTAAACCATCTATGCCTGTGTCCCCAGTCTGCTCTCCTCCATCAAGCACTCGTTGCCTTCCTACCACAGTGTCTAATTTCCCTGTTTATTGAATTATCCTCTTAAGCAAGACTCATGCTCACTCTTTGCTCACTTCCCCATTTCCAGCATCCAGAACAGTGCCTAGCACTTAGTAGGTGCTCAGTATTTATAGAATAAGCAAATGAATGGGGAGGTTGGAAGTTAATTAGCTCTTCCACTAGAGCAGCAGTCACCAGCCTTTTGGACTTCACGGACCACCAGTGGTCCAAGGACCACCGGTTGGCAACAGCTGCACTAGAGGGTAGTTCTGTGGGACAGAGCCCTTTATTGATTTGTCCCGTGCCTGGGGTTCAGGGAAATTTAAAATTTGTTTTGCTCTGCTGTGAAGAGGTGGAGCCAGGATTCAAATGCAAGTCTATTTGACTCCAAAGTTCATGCTCTGGGCCACATAAGCCCAGAGGGTTGGCTGGGGGAGTCAAATGCATTTACGTTTAAGGAAAGATTGGTTGGTAACAAAATTGGGACAGGGATTAGAGCATTTTCTCCAAATCCCCGCAGTCCTTTCCTATTTTGCTAGCTGATTCAGGCAGGGTAGGAGAGCTGTCAACTTCTCCTTCTAGAAGCCTTTGCAGAGCTGCTGAAATGCTTTCTTTTAGGCTGAGAGGTGGCCCCATCAGCCCCCACTTTATCATTCCATCTTGACCTCAGAGGAGAGAAAGGGGAACCAAAGGAGCTGAGCATCCTCGCCATCCCTCTCACCCCCAGGCTGTTATCTTGCTGAATCTGCACCATCTCTCATGAGAGGTATATTTTGAGCAGGATCTTACAGAAGAGGAAACTAAGCTCAGAGACCTTAAGAACTAACCCGAGGTCACACAGCTAGTAAATCGTTCAGCTGAGATTTAACTTTAAGATTTGAATCCTAGCTCTTCCTCAGTGCTGCCTACGGAGGTGGCAGCTGTCTCCTACTCAGCACCATGGCTGCCCTCAGACCCCTCGTGAAACCCAAGATTGCCAAGAAGAGGACCATGAAGTTCATCCGGCACCAGTCAGACCAATATGTCAAAATTAAGCAGAACTGGCGGAAACGCAGAGGCATTGACAATAAGGTGCGTAAAGATTCAAGGGCCAGATCTTGAATAACATTGGTTATGGGAGCAACAAGAAAACAAAGCACATGCTGCCTGTGGCTTTCGGAAGTTTCTAGCCATAACGTCAAGGAGCTTGAAGTGCTGCTGATGTGCAACAGATCTCACTGTGCTGAGACTGCTCACAGCGTCTCCTCAAAGAACTGCAAAGCCATTGTGGAAAGAGCAGCCCAGCCACCAGAGTCACCAATCTCAATGCCAGGCTGTACAGTGAAATAATGAAGACAGATTGCGTACACATTGTATTTGTGTTAATAAAATCATAAAATTCTGCAAAAAAAAGATTTGAATACCAAATTCATGCTTTTCTCCACTATACCAACCATAGCTATCTCTCAGATTTATTGGATGTCTCCTCAAAGGGCAGGTATGTGACTACTTCCCTCCTTGAAGGGCTGGCCCCTTCCTGGGAAGCTGGCCCAGGGGTGCTTTGGGTCAAAGGGCCAACCTGTGGTTTGTCTGGGGAGGCACACCCAACTCCTGTTCTTGGCATGTAAGCCTCTACAATCTGCAGCCACACTCTCCCACAGGGCCCTTTACTGTTCACCCCCTCAGCCCCTCCCTAATTTTTGAATTTCAAGATTTTGTCAGTACAACTCATTTCCCCCACTTGAGAATGCCGCTACTCTCTGCCCACCCAACCCAGTCCCTATGAAGTGCCTTGACACCTCCTACCTACACTGGAGTCTCTGATCTCTCCCCCATCACTGTCCACACCCCCCTCTCTGCCCCCCACACAGACCCTGCTCCTGTAATTCAAAGCAGATCACCTCCCTGTTCCTTGTTAATAATGATATGTAATAACAGGTACTACTGAGAGCTGACCATGTGCCAGCCACAGCACATGAAGCATTTTAAATGTATTTACTCATTTCCTGTCTCACATAATCTTAAAACTGTGTACTGTTATTTCCCCCATTTTACCAAATGGGGATTTAAAGCATAGAGAGGTTAAGTAACTTTCCAAAAGCCACACCGCTACTGACATTTCCTTATTAGCTCTAGGCTGAAAACAAAGTCTAAGAAAGTCCCACGAGGCTCTTTGGATCTCTCTATTCCCTGTGGCTTCCAGGGACCCCATCTCCCATCGCTTTCCTGGACCCACACTACAAAACTGCATCCACCCTGAGCTATTTACAATTCCCCAAATCATCAAGCTCTCTCATCTCTCCCTGCCTTTGTCCATGCCGTTTCCCCTGCCTGGAGTTCCAGCTCTATGAAGTCTCTCCATTCGCCTCCCCCCGCCCCCCTTTTCTGCTTCCTGTGGACCTGGTACATCACCTCTCCACTTCTATCAATTATTCCTTTGAGATTGTCTGTTGGCCGATCAGTTTTACTGCTGAGAACTCCTTGGCAGTCATGAAGTGGTCCCACTAGTAGACTCCAGAACCGGGCCTGTCACGTCGTTAGCGCCATTACATGTCTGGAAATGAATGAATAAATGCCTAATGCTGCGAGTGAGGCCCACTCTCCACAAGCAGAGGAGAGGGCCCCAGGCCCGGCCTCAATCGCGTCTCCATTGGCGGAGCTGCGCCCAGAGAAGCCTGAGGTGGCCCCCGGGCGGCCTCTTGCTCCACTTTTTTCTCTTTTTCTATAGCACCTTATCACCTTTTAATAATCAAAGGCATTTGTTTGTATATTATATTAATGGTTTGTTGTGTCTTTCCTGGCTAATGGAAGCTTCAGAAGAGAAGGGACCTTTGTTTGTTTTGTTCACTGGTGTATTCTAAGACCCTAGGAAAATGCCTCACACATCATAAACACACACACGGGTATTCAATTTGTAAAGAGCAAAATTCAATAGTGTACATTCGAAGGTATAATTGGCTTTATTAAGCCATTCATGAACCCTGCAGCC